TTTAGGGGTAGGGTACTAGGTAAACATGGCAAATCGATTGGTGAGGTAGTTAATCTTCACCAACTGAGGTTTGTACGTGTGTTACGTGTACCAAACCAACGCCTATCTAGACGGACGATGTTTGGTGTAGAAGTAGGTTGAAGAAATATAGTGGCGGTCATACAAAACGTGGCATCAGTTCAAGTCATTGACATTTGGACTGAGTCATGTTTACAGGTGTAGATTACTTGGTTGCTGTCCGCGTGATTATCATAACTAATGATTAGAGACTGAGTGATGCGGCTCAAGATCGTTTGCAGGTCCGTCCATTCCCTGTCTTACCCCAAATTCGGAGCTTCTAATTTCCTCATGGTTTTGTTTGTGTTCTTATTCCATTAATTCATATTTTCTTTTCGAATCACAATCTTCGACGCTTAGTCTTTTCTACTACCATTGATATTGTAACTACCTCTATTATTGTGGGGTTCGGTCTGACAATTTCATCTCTGTATGCAAATGGCGTATGTCAACTTGAACTGATGTACATACGTACGAGGTTCTACGTTGTGATTGATTGTCTTGCCATCAGTTAGTGGTTTGGTTCACACTGTCATGATCTACAACAATATGACTCCCGGAAAATACTGGATTTTTAGACCAACAGAACATGAATCCGGGACGCACGTTTCGTCCAACATAGGATTGTTCAGCTTGATGTACCTACATTCCATCAGGTATATGTGCAACTTAATCATGCTATTGCAAGATGTAAATTGATATCTGAATAATTGGTATGGTAAAGTTCATCAATTATGTTTCCATATATAGAAAGATCGTATGATTTGATTGATTTAAAAATGAAAAAGGAAATAGTGGGATTGCTGTCGACACAGATGTGACAATTTAATACGTATAATAATGTACAAGGATGCACAGGATTAGGTCTTTGAAAAATTAGACGCGATGTTTTGAACTTCGTATTACCCCTTCATGATAGTTATTTCGATGTGATCTGTGAAAGACTTCACAATCGGAAACAATCTGTCTACCCAGATTTAAATTGATTAAACCAATTATATGACAAATTCAAATTCGGTCAATTAAATCAAAATTGGTAATTCGCCAGATACTTGTGTATAAGCAACACACTATTGGTGAAGGCTAATAATACTGCTTAGTTGCCTAAATGTAAGTAGGTGAAGCGGCTTCCGAAACGAGTACTTAGTGGCTGAGAGTCACTGTTCCATTTACAGTCGGTCCATAAGGATAAATGGTATTGAAGTTTTCATAATTTCATTGGAATCATGAATACATCAATATAAGACCACCAACATTGATTGGTCCAATGAAATTAAACCATTTCCACAACTGCATATTGATAATTTTTTTCTAGTTTGTTTGTGATCAGTGTAATTGTGTATGTTTGGAAGTGTTTCATAAGTTACTATAGAAGCATAAAGTTAGATTTTATTTACTTACCATAAAGAAACGTATCTAAGAAAGACTTGTTGATATGAATTTTATATTCATATATAAATTCTGTCTCTTATTTCCAAGTTAATTGTGCATATATTTAGACTAACATTTCTATCCCTTTATTTTTAATCTCTTCAGGTGGGGATTAGACTTAAATAGTCAATGTGTGGCTGACTGCAAAGAATTAGGTGTTTTTGAACCACTTGTTTCTAAAATTAAAAGTTTAAAATTTGCTACTGAAGCCGCTATCACTATTCTACGAATTGATGATTTGATTAAATTAAAAGAAGAGAAACAACCTGATCATGATGGTGACGAGTGTGGTTATTAATTGAATTCGATTCCGGTCACTATATTTCTATCGTTTGTTGAAAGAAATATATGTGTTACATAATTTTAGAATGTTTTATGCTAATTTGAAATCATCAGTAAAAGGTTATGGAGATTGTTGAGCGTAGAATTATATCATAAATGAATCAATGTTAGACCACCATTTAAAATCTGGAAGCAATGTACGTCCAAACACTGTGCCAAATAGGACAACAAGCTTCCTTAGCTAGGACTCTAGAATCTCACGCCATCGATGTGTGCTGCGTCTCCGAAACGCGCATACAGGACCCGAGTAGTGTCATTCATTTGACCTCACCATGCCAAAATAAAGAACCGACTCGATTTACGCTTCGTGTATCTGGAAGCCCTGATTCTGCTTCCCGTGGCCTCGCCGGCGTAGGTATAGCATTGAGTCCTAGGGCAGAACTAGCTCTCTTAGAGTGGATCCCAGTAGACAGTCGTTTGTGCGCTGTCCGACTGAACGGAACAGTAAGAATCCGGAAAGATAGGGACACTCGTCGTTGCCTCTTCGTCGTCTCTGCCTATTCTCCCACTGACTGCAGCTCAGATGATGTAAAAGATGAGTTTTACAGAAAGCTTTCGGACCTTCTCCGAAAAGCTAAGCGCTCGGATGTAGTAATAGTGGCCGGTGACTTTAATGCTCAAGTAGGTAAACTAAGCGATAGGGAAAGACACCTAGGTGGATCTTATGGTGTCGTGGCTCAAAGAACAGATAATGGCGACCGTCTGTTGCAGCTATGCTCAGATAACCGCCTGTTCCTTGCAAATACTAACTTTAAGCAAAAGGAAAAACATGTTTTAACATGGCGACCCCCTAATTCGTCCCAACGTTGGACCCAAATAGATCACATCGCTATCAGCCACCGATGGAGGGGCTCGATAGAAGACTGTCGCTCATTCTGGAGCACATGCCTAGATTCAGATCATGCTCTAGTGCGAGCGCGTATTTGTCTGCGTCTTACTGGACGTAGGAAAGACGCTGCAAGGAAACCTCTTAGGGTCCTACTTAATGATAGCCAAGCTAAAAATATATTTCAGGAACAACTAGAAAAAGTTAGGCAGCCATGTATGTGATGCCCACCCCGAGGCAGCATGGAATGATATCCGAAAAGCTGTGGAAACAGCAGTGATATCTGCTAGTACGGTAAACCATAAGGTTAGGGAGCAACACTGGATCTCAGCAGCATCTATCGCACTGATAGATGCTCGGAAACTCATTCCACCTGGCTCTGAACATAATGAAAAGCGGAGTCAGCTTAAGCGCAAGCTGACCAGAAGCCTACGCAATGATCGCGAACCGTGGTGGGTAGCGAGAGCAAGAGATGGAAAAGACAGTGGAAATAGATAATAGCAGACAATTGTTCAGAATCGTTAAGGAAATCAGAATCAGGAACCCGACCGTTAGCGAAACAATCTCAGAGAAAGATGAACATAATATTCATTGTCAATCCGGGAGATTTGATCGATGGGCAAAACACTTAAGGGATCAGTTCAACTGGCCTTCAGCCACACTTCGGTTTCCCACGATCTCTAGTCGACCTGAATAGCAAGTAAATGTAGGTCCTCCGACTCTTCATGAAGTTGATAAAGCTATAGGAAATCTGAAGCTAAGGAGAGCAGCAGGCCCTGACAAGTTTACTCCTGGGAATTTTAAGGATGATGGTCCAGTATTAGCAGTGGGATTAACTGACCACTCAAAGCAACAATGCAAGCATATTCGGCATATGATTCTCCCTCGAAATGCAAAATGTTGCTTCGGGATTGGATTGCATTGACACCCGAACTAATGATAGGGAGTGAAGTAATTGAGCGTGCCGATCGCTTCACTTACCTTCGGAGTCTCATCAGCCCTTGTGGTCTGGTGTGTGACGAAATCTCAGCACGGATACAGAAGGCTCGACTAGCTTTTACCTACTTGCGTCATTTATGGCGTAGACCAGGTATCCGTCTACCAACCAAAGGACGTGTTTACTGCGCAGCAGTTCGTTCCGTCCTAATTTACGGCAGTGAAATATGGCCGGTAAGAGTAGAGGATATTCGTAGGTTACTAGTGTTCAATCATAGGTGTCTTCAAAGCATTGCTCGCATATCCTGGAACCATCTAGTAAGTAACGCAGTTGTTACGAAACGGGTACTAGGTAAGGATGGCAAATCGATCGATGAAGTGGTGAGACGTCATCAGTTGAGAAGGCTGGGACATGTGTTACGTATGCCCATTCATCGACCGCCTCGACGTGCGATCTTCAGTTGTATAGGAGTAGGTTGGAAGGGAGCTAGGTGCGGCCAGACCAAAACATGGCACAAGTTCATGAAGTCACTGACAAGTAAACTGAGTCATGTTGGTAGGTGTAGACTACCTGGTTGGGGACCGCGAGATGAAAGCAATGGATGGTTAGAGACCCTGAATGACATGGCTCGAAATCGTTCGCAGTGGAGCAGGTGCATCCACTCTCTGTGCTCTCCCAAATTCCAATCTTCTGAATTCTTCATGTCCCTTTCCTTTTTCTCTTTCCAAATTTGTTTCACTGGATTACACTCCTTGAATAACATCTTCAAACCCTAATTTTTCCGATTACTGCTTATACTTTTACTACCTCTACCACTGAGATTTGAATGGAGAATTGTATCTGTGTGCTAATGTTGTATGGCAAGTGGAACTGGTGTACCGACGTACGAAGTTCTACATTGTTGCTGACTGACTGTCTGGGCTCCATGATCCTGAAGGAACAAATAGCGTATGAACCCATTGTTGGTCACCGGCCACCATTAGACTGCATTTTTTAACGTTGTTCTACTGCCTTGCGAATAAGAAAACCACCCGTTTCTGTTTGGGCACCCGGGTACACACAAATCAAGTGACTTGTGTGGCTCATATGCATTCAGTACCGTTTTGTACTAATATTCATGTATTCAAACAAATAATCAAGGAGAAAATTCGATTCATTGACTAATGAAATATTGACCTCCTTATGTATACAAAAACTAAATCATTTCGGGTTCATTTCAAGTATTTTATGTTTTACAATAAATGAGTTTACACTGCTAAATAGTTTTCATATGAATATCTGTGTAAAACATTAGAGATCTAAGTGATTATTGATTAGAAAGTGTTTGTTGATTCCTTTTTTTCCGTCCATAAATAATAAAGTTCAATGAATATTTATAAAGAAAGTTATCACTAATCCTGTGTATTTTCACATTGGTCCATTGAATCCATGATTTTGTCTTACTACATTACTAGGCATATTCATATTAACTGTCATTGTTTGATATGCTGGAGCAAATGCACCGAATGCACCACCCATATTCGGTGGTATCATACCATATCTAGCATAAATAGGATGTCGTATTGTTGATGCTTGTTGTTGTTGTTGTTCAGCTTCTGCTGCAGCAGCGGCAGCTGCAGCTTCTTTAGCAGCTTTTTCATCCATCTCTTGTGCAAGTGCAGCTTCTCGTTCACGTCGTTTCCTACTACGTGATTTACATAACATTAATTTTTCATGATTAATTATACAGAATGCAATAATTATACCAATGGTTAATAATAGTACAACAATTAATAAACAAGCTGATAACACAGAAGGTGGTAAATATATTTCTTCTTCCATTGGATTATTGGTCTTTCTTCGTCTTGTCTGTAATGTATTTGTCGTTAATCGACGAAATGGACAACGTTCTAATGCTTGATGTGAGCTAACTTTATCCGATGTAGTTGGTAAACCCTAGTTTTGAAAATGAAGGACGTTCAATGTGTTATGAATGCAAATGTAACCACAGTAATAATAATTTAAGTCAAAAGGAAAAACACCATTGTCGTACTCAAATCAATCACCTGTGAGTTGTTATCTAGATGCTTCAATAAATTTGATATTATTAAGTTAAAGCCGACTAACATTGACATAGGTTTCGGAGTAAGTGGGACTCGTCAGCAAAGCTTATTTGCTATCGTATAGAAAATGATGTATTTTGGCAGATTCTAACCGATATCACCGAGTATTAAGATTAGATACTTAACAGCTGAACTGTTCGACTAACTGTTCATTTCTGTAGCGTTGAGATGCTCACGCTGATTGACCACCGATTTGTATTGCTCGGTATCGATCTCTATCTATCAACTTGAGATTTATGCGTTAGTGAAAGTGGCATGACATTGGAGTTCACTGAGTTTGTTATTGGATAGTTAGGAGTAAGTGAAAAGTCAATCCCCTATTAATAAAACTCCGCCTGTAGCTCTTCTAGAGTTACTGCCGGTCCCAAGCCCGGGTAAAGGAGGAGGGTTGGGCATGGGGTTAGCGTCCCCATCCCGTAGAAAACTAACTCGCTAAAAAAACGCTTGCCAGAAAAAATAATTCAAACCATTTTAACTCTGCCCTGAGAGTTAGAAGGTCTTCATTTAGAAGAATTATGACGCTTCATGGTGAAAGCCGAGTTCCTTCGGAAGCCACGAGGCCGATGCCCCTTCTAACAACCAGAGCAAAAATTTTTATAGGTACATGGAACGTTCGAACAATGTGGGAAACCGGGAAGACCAGCCAAATAGCAACGGAAATGAGGAGATACAACTTGGCAGTACTGGGAATCAGCGAAACCCACTGGACCCAAGCTGGACAGAAAAGGCTAGCTACGGGAGAGATGCTGCTATACTCCGGTCACGAAGAGGACAATGCTCCACACACTCAGGGAGTCGCTCTTATGCTGTCCAAAGTAGCACGAAATGCACTTGTAGGATGGGAATCCACGGATCCAGAATCATCAAAGCATCATTCAAAACAAAGAAGGAGGGGATCTTAATGAATATTATCCAATGTTATGCACCCACCAATGACAGCAACGACGACATTAAAGATCAATTCTACGAGCGGCTGCAGTCAGTGATAGAGAAATGCCCAAGAAAGGACCTCACCATTCTGATGGGAGATCTAAATGCCAAGGTCGGAATAGACAACACTGGATATGAAGATATTATGGGACGACATGGACTGGGAGAAAGAAACGAAAATGGAGAAAGATTTGCAAATTTGTGTGCATTCAACAAATTAGTCATAGGAGGCACAATATTTCCACACAAGCGTATACACAAGGCTACATGGATCTCACCGGACCACACTACAGAGAACCAGATAGATCATATTTGCATCAACAAAAAATTCCGAAGGACAATGGAAGATGTGAGAACCAGGAGAGGTGCTGACGTAGCTTCAGATCACCACCTAGTTGTAGCCAATTTAAAATTGAAGCTAAAAAAGAACTGGACAAGTGGACAAACAGCACTACAAAGGTTCAATACAGCCCTCCTTCGAGATACTGTCAAACTCAATGAATTCAAGATAGCTCTCAACAACAGGTTCCAAGCCTTTCAAGATCTACTGAAGGAAGAAGAAACTACCATGGAGGACAACTGGAAAGGCATCAAAGAAACATTGACTTCAACGTGTCAAGAGGTTCTGGGCCTAAAGAAACACCATCATAAGGAATGGATCTCTATAGAAACACTGGATAAGATCAAAGAAAGGAAGAACAAGAAGACAGCAATTAACAACAGCCGAACACGAGCAGAGAAAGTCCAAGCACAAGCTGAATACATAGAAGCAAACAAGCAAGTGAAGAGGAGCATTAGAGCCGACAGGAAGAAATACGTGGAAGAATTAGCAACGACGGCAGAAAAAGCTGCTAGAGAAGGAAATATGAAACAGCTCTACGATACAACGAAGAAACTATCAGGGAAATACAGTAAACCAGAGAGGCCGGTCAAAGACAAAGAAGGCAAGCCAATCACTGAAATTCAACAACAGCGAAACAGATGGGTAGAATACTTCGAGGAACTCCTGAATAGGCCGGCTCCAATGAATCCACCGAACATCGAAGCAGCACACACAGATCTTCCTATAGATGTCAACCCACCAACGACGGAAGAAATTAGAATGGCCGTCAGACAAATCAAGAACGGGAAAGCAGCAGGACCCGACAACATACCAGCTGAAGCACTGAAATCAGACGTCGAAGTAACCACAAGCATGCTTTACCCTCTATTCAAAAAGATTTGGGAGGAGGAACAAGTGCCGATGGACTGGAAAGAAGGACACCTCATCAAGATTCCAAAGAAAGGAGATCTGAGCAAATGTGAAAACTACAGAGGCATTACACTACTGTCAATACCAGGGAAAGTCTTCAACAGAGTGTTGCTGAACCGGATGAAGGATGCAGTAGATGCCCAACTTCGAGATCAACAAGCTGGATTCCGTAAGGATCGGTCGTGCACAGACCAAATTGCAACACTATGGATCATTGTCGAACAATCAGTTGAGTGGAACTCATCACTATACATCAACTTCATTGATTATGAAAAGGCATTTGACAGTGTAGATAGGAGGACATTATGGAAACTTCTTCGACACTACGGAGTTCCTGAGAAGATTGTCAATATTATCCGGAACTCATACGACGGACTACAATGCAAGGTCGTGCATGGAGGACAGCTAATAGATGCACTCTAAGTAAGGACCGGAGTCAGACAAGGCTGTTTACTCTCTCCCTTCCTCTTTCTTCTGGTGGTCGACTGGATAATGAAGACCTCAACATCCGAGGGAAAACGCGGAATACAATGGACAGCTCAGAATCAATTAGACGATTTGGACTTCGCAGATGACCTAGCCCTCCTATCGCGTACACACGAACAGATGCAGATAAAGACAGCCAGTGTAGCAGCAGTCTCTGCATCAGTAGGCCTCAGCATACACAAAGGGAAAACTAAGGTCCTCAAATTCAAAGTGGAGAACAGCAATCCAATCACACTTGATGGCGAAACTCTGGAAGATGTAGAATCCTTCACATATCTGGGAAGCATCATCGATGAACAAGGAGGATCCGATACAGACGTAAAGGCGAGGATCGGCAAAGCAAGGGTCGCATTCCTACAATTGAAGAACATATGGAAGTCAAAACAACTTTCAACCAATATCAAAGTGAGAATCTTCAATACGAACGTCAAGGCAATTCTACTGTATGGAGCTGAAACTTGGAGAACTACAACAACCACAATCAAGAAAGTACAAGTATTTATAAATAGCTGTCTACGCAAGATACTCAACATCCATTGGCCGGATACCATCAGCAATAGCCTTCTGTGGGAGAGAACAAACCAACTTCCAGCTGAAGAGGAAATTAGGAAAAGACGATGGAAATGGATAGGACATACATTACGCAAATCGTCAAACTGCATCACGAGGCAAGCCCTAACTTGGAATCCTGAGGGGAAGCGCAAAAGAGGAAGGCCAAAGAACACATTGCGTCGGATAATAGAAGCAGATATGAAAAGGATGAATTACAACTGGAAGGAGCTGGAAAGGATTGCCCAGGACAGGGTTAGATGGAGAACGCTGGTGAGCGGCCTATGCTCCTTCACGAGGAGTAACAGGCGTAAGTAAGTAAGTAAGTACTATGATGCTCTTTGATTGATTAAAAAAGTCAAATAACTTATTCGAAATTGTTTAACACAACTTGGGTCGATTAAAGTTAGACATTAACACCATTGGATCCTGGTTAAGTTGTCTACAGGTTGGGCGTTCGCGCGCGAGACCGAAGATTCTGGGTTCGAGTAGTGGATGCGCACTACTGATGAGTATCATACTATGACAAGACGGACGTCCAGTACTTCTAGGTTTCCAATGGTAGTCTAGCTTAGATCGACTCATAAATTCAACTATTAGCATAACTTGAATTTAGACGAGAAGTAAATCATTCACTAGCTCCTGTTATGAATTATGAATAAATAATTGTGTTCACTTTGTAAAACGATAGAGAAATAAAAGTTCATCAACAAATGTGTAATTACGACCTGATTTGTTCTTAGGTAAGGTAGGATTAGTTACCTCTTACATTATCTGTTCTCAATGTGCTTACAAATTTAATTAATTAGTAACAATACACTATCTCATCAATTGGTATTTTGGCTTGTGAATATTCTCGACTAAACTAAAAATATTGACAGGAGAATTGGCCTGATTAAACACTCAGTAAACGGAATATCATCTATCGAAGTCAAATGGAGAGGAATTGATGTCTACAATAACATTCATGTCTCCCATTGTCACAGTTAGTTAGTACTTTATCCTACTGAGATGTTTAAATCATAACTATTAACATTCCATTAAATTCAACAAACTATTTTACAAAGATGTTTTGTGCTTTGAGCAGAACTAGTCACTTGTGGAGAAATTTTAGTCGCTCACTTCTTTTGAAAAAAAAAAGTGAGCTGATGATATTGCAAAGAAAGACAGTGAAAGCTTGACAATTCAACGATCCAGCTCAAGGAACAGAATACTCTAGAAAACAATCTATTTATTTGCATTATGAGTAGAGATGGATGGTGGCTAGCCGTGGAATCCATGATGCACATTTCATTTTATTTAAGGTTCGTTAGTTGATGTTCCAAAAGAAGTGATTGTGATCAATTGAAATCCTTAACACCATTTTGGAAAATTCAAATCATCAACACAAATGTATGGATTACTAATAGTTCAATGATAATGAAAATTATCAGAATGTGTTTTGTGGAGATTTTTAGAAATTTTCACAGATTGAACTCATGAGTCAGTTGAAGCTAGACCACCATTGGAAACCTGGAAGCACTGGACGGCCGTTTCGTCCTAGTATGGGACTCCTCAGCAGTGCACATCCACGACCCCGCACCACCCGGGGCTCGAACCCAGGACCTACTGGCTTCGCGCGCGAGCACTTAACCATTAGACCACTGAGCCGGCATCCAACGGTGTTAATGTCTAACTTCAACCAATCCACGAAGTTGCGCTACCGTATACCGTTGTACTGAGGGAGTTCCTATCTCATAACAGACCTGGTTGAACTCCACTGGTAACGACTTCTCACTAGAACTCCAGAAGTGTCTCCTGAAGTCAGTCACTAGTGAGCAGGTGATTATTATTATTATCAGAATGTGTTTTGTGGAGATTTTTAGAAATTTTCACAGATTGAACTCATGAGTCAGTTGAAGCTAGACCACCATTGAAAACCTGGAAGCACTGGACGGCCGTTTCGTCCTAGTATGGGACTCCTCAGCAGTGCTTTCACGATCTCAGGGTATGATAATGAAAGTAACTAACTTACACCTGGTGAAAATTGACAATCAACATTTGATGTAATATTAGCTGATTTATGTTGAACAATAAATGGACATGATTGAACTTCTTCATCACTTTGAAATTCTGTTATATGATGTATATCAATTGGTTTTGGTGGTAAACGTTCTCTTTTTAATCCAGTTAATGAACGAAATACAACTTGTGTTAATTTATTACTAGCAAAACGTTCAGTATCTTCAAATGGTATAGAATTATTTATTAAACTTCTTCCATCAATACATATATATTGTGTTAACTGAAATAAATTTTTTTTTTAAAAAAAACAACAGTATGGACAATATAAATATGATTATAATAATAGAAGTAAATGTTGACAATAATCAATCAAATTCAAAGTAGAAAGAACAAGTGATTACTCGTAGAAAACTTCTCATAGTTCACTTCTATCTGAAATTTGTCTTGATAGTCAAGTTATTTTCAATAGCGTATTGTTAAACAGGATGCAGGACTGTGTAGACGCCCAACTTCCAGACCAACAGGCAAGATTCCGTAGGGAGCGATCGTGTGCAGACCAAGTTGCAACACTACGGATCATTATGGAACAATCGATTGAGTGGAACTCACCACTCTACATCAACTTCATTGACTACGAAAAAGCATTTAATAGCGTGGACGGGAATACACAATGGAAGTTTCTTCGACACTAGGGCGTACCTGAGAAGATAGTCAGTCAGTCATCTACAACGTAGGACCAGGCACATATATGCATCGGTGTAAGTTGACATACCTCATTAACACAACAAGATGAACACCGGATTCATAAAAGTAGTTAATTCAGAGGTGGTAGTATATAAAAGAAAGATTGCAATAAGGATATAGTATAGGAAGAAAGAATTAGTTCATAGAAAGAAAGATATGAAGCAGTTTTGGTCTCGTAGTTTAAGGGAAGACAGAGAGTGTCTACACCGACGCCATTGTGATCGATTCTGAGCCATGTCACCAAGAGTCTCTAACCATTGGTCACGAAAGTCACGCGGACCTCAACCAAGTAGTCTGCATCTACCAACATGGTTCAGACTACAAGTTGGTGACTTCAAGCACTGATGCCACGTTTTGGTTTGGCCGCCCCTAACTTTCTTCCAACCATCCCCTACCCCGGTTAGCATTGCACGTCGTGGTAATCGGTGTTCAGGCATACGTAATACGTGGCCCAACCATCTCAGTCGATGAAGATTCATAACCTCATCAACTGATTTACCATCATTCCCTAATACCCTGCGTCTAACCTCACTATTACTTACTCGGAGATCCCAGCAGATATGAGTAATATTTCTAAGGCATTTGTGGTCAAATACTAGTAGCTTACGAGTGTCTTCTACTCTTAAAGGCCATGTTTCGCTGCCGTAAATTAAAACAGAACGAACTGCCGCGCAGTATACTCGTCCTTTTATTGATAGACGGATATCTCGCCTTCGCCAAAGGTGACGTAAGTTGGCAAAAGCCAAACGAGCTTTTCGAATCCGTGCTGAGATTTCGTCAGACACCAGCCCATTAGGGCTGATCAGACTTCCAAGATAAGTGAAGTTGTCAACGCGTTCGACTACTTCACTCCTTATCCTTAGTTCAGGTGTTGACGCAGACCAGTCCTGAAGCAACAACTTGCATTTAGAGGGAGAGAAGTGCAGTGCTGAGATTTCGTCAGACACCACCCATTAGGGCTGATCAGACTTCCAAGATAAGTGAAGTTGTCAACGCGTTCACTACTTCACTCCCTATCCTTAGTTTGCATCCTGAAGCAACAACTTTCATTTAAAGGTGGAGAAATTGTTCAACAATATATTTTCTAATATATATTATTTATACTTAAGTATATAATATTAACTTACTTGCATTATACGTTGATAATAACGAAATAAAAATGGTGGTATAGTTTTCATACGAAATCCTAATTCTAAACCTAATAATTCACTATCATTTTTAATCCATGCTAAAAAATCTGCATCTATACAATCCACTGGTGGTAATGAATATTCTTGAAATCTTGGTTCATATATAAATAAATAAAATTGATCATTATTACCAATCATAACACAATCTAAATAACTAATTATATCGGTAGGTGATGGTAAATTATTCCAATGATCACATGACATATATAAAGCATCATGAATAGTTTGTTCCATAGTTTCATTGAAATCATTTGCTCCAGTTATATTATTATTCATAGAACTTGAATCTGTTTCATTTATAGTTGATTGAATAGTCGAAATACTACTACTACTACTACTACTACTAGTAGTAGTAGTAGTAGTGGTAGGTATCAATGATGATTGTGTTGTTTTGACACTATTAATTGATGAACTTTTCTTTGTTTCTATTGTTGATAAACGTACAATAAAACAGCCAACATTTGGACAAAATTGACATATAGGTAATTTAGCATTAGAATGATAAAGTAATTCAAATGTTCGATCAGTTTTATAATGACCACCAGTTAAATTTACTTTAGCTGGCCAATAACCACTTGGACATAACATATTAGGTGAATAATAATAATTATTATTATTATGATTACTATGTATAATGATAATGTAAACTATATTCAATAGAATAAAATAGGATAATATTCTCTGGAAAATGTGTTGAGTAATTTCAATAGACATCATTATATGTTGTTGTCAGAATAAGGAAGGATTTAGAATTAACTGTATAGTTTCATCGATAATCACTGCATACAATTTATATATATTTTAGTGGTCCAATCAATGTAACATAAGGAAATCATGACCTTGATCCCCATCATCACAAATATTGAAATCGATAGATTTACCAATATACGAAGTGTGTGTGTGTGTGTATGTGGACATTGCAAGTTATTTAAATAATACTTTGGGGGAAGAGTGAAAATGTGGAAAATTTAGAACTTTGTTATTCTGATTGGTTGGGTACAGGATGATAAAGTTTGTTTTAAAAACTACGCCTTAATTATTTATTTGGGAGGTCGATAGCATTCGATCTGCACTAAATAAGGACTTGACACACGTGACAGTGATCACCACCCAGTGATCAATCAATTGTGAGGTTTTAACCTTTTCAAGACTATCAAGAACCTGTCATTTATCCATTTAAGACTTGGATTCGATTTCTATGAAGAGATATTTTGATTTTTCTTCACAGTATCCTTACTACTGACCAACCTGCTTGATAAACAGTACGAAGCAAGGGGTGTAGGTGTCTAGTGAACAAGAACACGAGTGAGGTCAACCGAATGTATCTGTACACAAAATTACAGAACGTCTTACAAAATCTGAGAACCATACCGGAAAAATAGATAATTTGCATACTATCCCTTCGCAAATATCAAATGCCTTCCGTTTCCGTTCTTTCCTTCGAACCCAAAACCAATCGGTCTCGCACGTGAACACTTAACCTTCTGGACCACTGAGCCGGCATCCGACGGTGTAAATGTCTAGACTCAACCAATACACGAAATTGTGCGACCATCTTTCATTGTAATGAGCTAGATACCTGTCTCTACCAGACATAGACTAGCTCCACAGGTCACAGCTCCTAACTCCGAGAATTCCCTCACGAAGCTAGTCACTAGTGAGCACATGAAAATTATCAATATGGTGTTGTGGAGACGAAATGGTCGTTTGGTGTTTCCAGGTTTTTAATGGTGGTCTAGCACCAAGCGACTCATGATCTCAATCAAAAAGTAATAATATTGACAAACCCATACTGATAGACAACTTTTGTTAGTATTATATTCAGTAAATATCGTCATTTTCATTTTATTTATGTAGTGTTTCTTGATATCAGGGCTGCCTTCGATTCTTTGGACAAGACTGTTCTCTGGGAATGTTTATTGAAGAAGGGTGTGCCTGAGAAGTTTATTAACATCTCACACCTCAGGCAGAGTGAGGGCATACAACCACCTTTCTCCATTGTTCCATTCAAGCAATAGGGTTAGACAGGATTGCCTAATCTCACCATTCCTCTTCAACTTTGCCATCGATGACATTCTGGAAACAGCTGTGATGGATGTAGGTAATGGCGGTGTAGATCTGTTGACTGGAGAAAGACTTCTCGACCTTGAGTATGCGGATGATATTATCTTACTGTACGATAATACCCGAACCATGCAATCCGCACTTAATCAGTTGGCAATCAGTGTCCGTAGGTATATATGCACCTTCGAAGTGCAAAGTACTTCTACAAGACTGGCAGGATTCTAATCCTGTACTCGCCCTGAATGGTGAGCAGATAGAAGTAGTCGACAAGTTCGTGTATCTGGGTAGCTGCATAAGTGCTGGTGGGGGTGTGAGTGATGAGATCAATGCACGTATAGTGAAAGCCAGAGCGGCCTATGCCAATCTGGGCCATCTTTGGCGCCTTCGTGATGTTAGTCTGGCTGTAAAAGGTCGGATCTACAACGCGTCGGTGAGAGCAGTCCTACCCTATGCTTGTGAAACCTGGCCTCTCCGAGTTGAGGACGTTAGACGACTCTCTGTGTTCGATCATCGCTGTCTCCGAAGGATTGCTAACATCCAGTGGCAAAACCATGTTAGTAATGTAGAGGTTTGGCATCGTGTGTTCGGGCACGGAGACGATAATGCAATTGGTGTCACCACCTTGAAACACTGATTTCGGTGGCTTGGACATGTTCTACGAATGTCGTCCCAGAGAATTCCACGTCGTGCATTATTTGCCCACGCTGGGACTGGTTGGAAAAAACGGAGAGGTGGTCAGTGCATGACATGGTGTCGTGGTATGAAAGAAAGCTGCAAAGGACTGGCCTGTGTTGGTCCTTCACGACTCCCTGGTTGGAGTCCTAGAGATGGTGCGACATAGTGGCTAGAGACGTTATCAGATATAGCTCAGAATAGAAGCCAGTGGCGATCCTGCTCTAACCTTCTTCATAAAAAGTGGTTGTATCTTCCTTAACTGAAAGATTTCTTCTAATTGTACCTTTCCGTTTCCCCCATTATCATTATTACACTACGTTACACTAATCTGATGGTTATTGTTCTTTTTTTTCTTTTACGCCCCTTACCTTCTTTTTTTTCTCTTCCCATTCTCATTGTTTTATGTGGCGCATATATACTTGGTGCCCTCTTGTACCAATATTTATGTGTTCAAATAAATAAACATTGTTATATTCCGTGAGGTAAATAGTTTAATCAAAATTTTTTTCACAGTCTTTCTAAAGGAGATTCCGATATCAAGTGGGGTCGATGCAGAACAACATCATCGGAAGTAATTTGTTAAACAAACAATTTATTGAACTGAATAGGACTGAAAGAAGAAAGAACACCGATTAAGAACAAAAATTCAACAGTGAGAAAAAGACAAAAACAGAATCACAGACTATTTTGAATGATTCTTGGAGAAAGACATTAACAACAGTATATACACGAAAGTGAAAATCAATTCCGAGGACAGAGAGGGTTGGAGAATGCCGGTTGGCAACCTATGCTCCACTGGGAGTAACAGGCGTAAGTAAGTAAATATCAATTGAAGAACACATTTGAATAGGTAAAATGTAATGGATAAAATTTGGTCCTTTGATGTTATTTTCAACAAAGAAAGCACCATATCTGATAACATTAGAATTGCATACTATTTATATATACAAGCACTTAGCAGCGTGAAAAACAGATTAGTAATTACAAAAAAAAATACTTAGAAAGCGGATGTCTCAATCATATCGCAAACGAATGACTATCTTCTTTACAGTTGACTGGTGTGATTAGACCTTTACCATTTTGCCCTAATTTATCACCAGGTTTCCAACCAAGTTTTTGCAATAAACGATGACCTTTATTGGTCTACAAAACAAGACAAAAGTAATGCAAAGTACACTGTTATGGAATATTATTTTAAAGGTAGAGAAAGAATGAACAGGTCTCAAAAATCATTTATGTTTACAATGCTACTGTGATCTTTAATCGATCAAATGGTTATTAATATTGGGAGATTGGTTGGGATTGTTCAGTTTTTTTCTTTATATAAACAGATTGTCATTAGCTAGACAAGCATAGAGAACTAAAAAGCACTACTGGATGATATTTTTGTCATACCATGGGACTAATCCGCAGTGTGCATAGCGGTAGAGATCAATCGCTGGTACACTTATTAACAAATAGTGACTACAAATACTAGGCTTGCTAATATCGGAATACAATGGCTACCTGGACGGACGATATCGTCTGGTATAGGAGTCGGTTGAAGAAATGTAAGGGCGGTCAAACCAAAACGTGGCATCAGTTCAAGAAGTCATTAACATTTTGACTGAGTCATGTTAACAGGTGTGGACTATATGGTTGCTGTCAATGTGATTATCATAACCAGTGGTTAGAGACTTTAAGTGACAGATCAAATTTGTTTGTAATGATGCAGGTCCATCCATTAACTGTCTTACCCCAAATTCTAATATCCTCATAGTCTTGTTTGTGTTCTTATTACACTAATTTATATTTTCTTCTTGGACCACATCTTCGATGTTTAATCTTTTCTAATACCACTGATATTGTAACTACCTCTATTATTGTGGGGTTTGGTCTGACAATTTTATCTCTGTGTGCTAAAGGGGTATGTTAACTTGAACCGATGTACATACATACGAAGTTATACATTGTGATTGACAAAGTGGACAATTACCGATTAGCGTACAAAGTATGCACTTGGTAAGAGAATATCCGAACACTGTCCTGAATGGCTATCTGAGTCTTTTCTTTTTTTATTTTAAATTCAATAATAAAAGAAGTTTAGAGACTAAGAAGCAGTTGGGAACTGTTTGTTTAAGATTCTTTTGAGTACGAAACTGATCACTATTTGTAAGTTTAGAAGTTCCGAAATGTAACAGAAAGAAAATGAAATTGAAATTTACCTCGTTTAATGGTTTAGCATGGGACACTTCTGCTTTCCAATTGTCAATACATGGACGTTGATTGTTCACACAGGGAGTGTGTACTTTTTTATTATGATCAGAGTCAAATTCATCAGAATCCCGTAATGACTCATTGTCACTAATCATCCATGGAGGTGTAGGCATTTGACAGTTAGATTTATCAGTCTGAGAAAAAAATATCACAGAGAATTATATTTGTGTTATGAACGGGGAATTAAGAAGCCCAGACAACTACGAAAGCTATTTTCTTGGGACGTTATTGCATTTCATTCAAAACTTGTAAAACACTTATATTTATTTTTGTCCCTATTTTATTATACACAACATGAGCTTCCGTTCTATGTATCATTCGAAAATATTGTAATTTAAACATACTATTCTGCATCATATTTTCTACCCTAAGTCCCAGTTTCGGACATAATTGTATTTCCCCAAATTATCGTACGTCGTGGTCGTGGATGCTGCCTTCCCACAAGGAGGGGTGGGGTTAGAAAAGGTCGACCCTAAAAATGCACACCTCGCCTTATCCCACGGATATCCGTCTCCGGCGGTAAGGTCTCAATAAGTACGGAGCTAAACGCTCAGACATAGTACTCGTAGGGGGTGATTTTAATGCTCAGATAAGTAGCTTAAACCAAACAGAAAGGCATTTAGGTGGATATTTTAGTATTCCGACACAGCGAACAGATAATGGTGATCGTCTGCTGCAGCTATGCTCAGACAATCGTTTATTTTTAGCAAACACAAATTTTAAGCATAAGGAGAGACATCGTCTAACATGGCGGCCCCCTACACCAAACCGACGATGGACTCAAATAGACCATATTGCCATCAGTCATCGTTGGAGAGGGTCGGTAGAAGATTGTCGCTCATTCTGGAGTACCTGCTTGGACTCCGACCATGCCCTAATACGGGCACGCATCTGCTTGCGCCTCACTGGACGCAAAAAAGCCACATTAAAAAGACCCGTTAGAACTGAGTTGAGTAACGAGAAAACCAAAAGTAGGTTCCAGGAACAACTGAGGTCACACTTAGGTAGTTGTGAAGACGAGGCTGACCCAGATGTTGCTTGGAAGGGCATACAATCAGCTGTGGAAACAGCAGTGACATCTATTAGTGACTTAAACCACAGAGTTGCAAGGAACCAGTGGATTTCTTCAAGGTCTGTCACACTGATGGATTCTCGCAAACTCGTCCCATCAGGTTTTGAACATGATGAAGAGCGAAAACAAATCAGATCTAGGTTAAGAAAAAGTCTAAGAAACGATCGTGAGCAGTGGTGGGTAACGAAAGCAAAAGAGATGGAAAAGGCGGCGACTATAGGGAACACAAAACAGCTTTACAGACTAATAAAAGAAACTGGAATTAATAAGTCAAGTGTAAGTGAGATTATATCGGAAAAAGACGATACACTCATCTGCTCCAAGTCCAGACGTTTAGAACGATGGGCGGAACATTTTAGAGAACAGTTCAGCTGGCCTTCAGCTACTCTACAACTACCCTCCATTCCCAGACAATGTGAATGGAACATTGAAGTAGGTCCCCCAACTCTTGCTGAAGTTCAAAAGGCTATAGTTAATCTGAAACGAGGAAGGGCAGCTGGTCCAGATGGACTGGCTCCAGAGGTCTTTAAGGATGGTGGTCCAATTTCAGCGATTAGGTTGACTAATATTTTAGCTAAGATCTGGGAATTAGACTTTATCCCATCTGACTGGTCGCAATCACTTATCGTCCCAATATATAAGAAAGGGTCAAAATCATCCTGTGACAACCACAGAGGGATTAGTTTAACTAATATAGTATCTAAAATACTGGCCTCGATAATTATCAGACGCTTAACTAAGACTCGTGAATTGCAAACTTGAGAGAACCAAGCTGGCTTTAGACCTGGTCGTGGCTGCATCGACCACATATTCACCATTCGTCAGGTTCTAGAACACAGGCATACTTATCGGCGTCCGACGATGGTGGTATTTCTTGACTTAAAAGCAGCATTTGATTCGGTAGACCGCGAGACTCTGTGGCAGTGTCTGTCATTGAAAGGCGTACCTGTGAAGTACGTAAACCTTGTGAAGGCTCTTTACTCGAACACTACCAATCGAGTCAGAGCTTATGGCGAACTGTCATCTACTTTTGCAACCTCAAGTGGTGTCCGTCAAGGCTGTCCACTTTCTCCATTTCTGTTTAACTTCATCATAGACCTATTGATGAAAATAACATTCTCGTCTACTGAATTCTCGGGTATTGATCTCCATCCAGGAGGTCCACTTATCGACTTAGAATACGCAGATGACATAGTCGTGTTTGGTGAAGACGCTGATAAAATGCAGAGTCTTTTGGTAGCACTGAGCAACAATGCCAGAATGTTTGGAATGCGCTTCTCTCCCTCTAAATGCAAGTTGTTGCTTCAGGACTGATCTGCGTCAACACCTGAACTAAGGATAGGGAGTGAAGTAGTCGAACGCGTTGACAACTTCACTTATCTTGGAAGTCAGATCAGCCCTAATGGGTTGGTGTCTGACGAAATCTCAGCACGGATTTGAAAAGCTCGTTTGGCTTTTGCCAACTTACGTCACCTTTGGCGAAGGCGAGATATCCGTCTATCAATAAAAGGACGAGTATACTGCGCGACAGTTCGTTCTGTTTTAATTTACGGCAGCGAAACATGGCCATCAAGAGTAGAAGATACTCGTAAGCTACTAGTATTTGACCACAGATGACTTAGAAATATTGCTGGCATCTGCTGGGATCACCGAGTAAGTAATAGTGAGGTTAGACGCAGGGTATTAGGGAATGATGGTAAATCAGTTGATGAGGTTGTCAATCTTCATCGACTGAGATGGTTGGGCCACGTATTACGTATGCCTGAACACCGATTACCACGACGTGCAATGCTAACCGGTGTAGGGGATGGTTGGAAGAAAGTTAGGGGCGGCCAAACCAAAACGTGGCATCAGTGCTTGGTTGGGGTCCGCGTGACTTTCGTAACCAATGGTTGGAGACTCTTGGTGACATGGCTCAGAATCGATCACAATGGCGTCGGTGTATACACTCTCCGTCTTCCCTTAAACTAAGAGATTAAAATCACTTCATATCTTTCTTTCTATGAACTAATTCTTTCTTCCTATACTATATCCTTATTGCAACCTTTGACCTAACCACTCCTATGAATCCGGTGTCCATCTTGTTGTGTTAATGAGGTATGGCAACCTGGACCGTTGCACATATGTGCCTGGTCCTACGTTGTAGCTGACTGACTGACTGACTAATCCGAATTCAGAATGTCCCAACTGTCTTGTCTTCTCTCACTTGCGTGCTTGCCAACCAATCAGGTTTTAGAATAGTTTTCTCTCTACCCCATCTCGAACTCACGCGTACTAGACTCAAGGTTAAGCCACTCAGCCTATCGCGTTAAGGTCATAATTTAGACTAGACAGAACAAGGTATCAACGGGGTAAAAAGCGATCCAAGGTCATAACAATTTGTAAGCTGGTTTTGTCAGTCAGTCAGTCAGCCACAACGTGGGACGAGGCACACATGTGCATCGGTCCAATTTGCCATAACTGGTTTTGTATCGGGAAATAATGATACTTTATTGATTAGTGATTGATAACAAGAAACTAGCTGATGAATGTTAAATAAAATTGGCATAAACATTGTTATCTGACCGGTGTTCGGGATGATTGGAAGAAAGTTAGGGGCGGCAAAATCAAAACGTGGCATCAGTGCTTGAAGTCACTAACTTCCAGTCTGAACCATGTTGGTAGATGCAGACTACTTGGTTGGGGTCGGCGTGACTATCGTAACCAATGGTTGGAGACTCTTGGTGACATGGCTCAGAATCGATCACAATGGCGTCGGTGTATACACTCTCTGTCTTCCCTTAAACTAAGAGATTAAAATCACTTCATATCTTTCTTTCTACGAACCAATTCTTTTTTCCTGTACTATATCCTTATTGCAATCTTTCTTTAAATATTACCACCTCTGAATTAACTACTTTTATGAATCCGGTGTCCATCTTGTTGTGTTAATGTGGTATGGCAACTAGGACCAATGCATATATGTGCCTGGTCCTACGTTGTAGCTGACTGACTGTTATCTGATATAATAGGAAACTATTACAACGAGACGAATATCGAGAAACCTGTAACTTGTGGACCTATCCTGTGAAGAATTATTGCCAAGATGTTTATTGAATAACTCTAATAGGAATCTTTGGTATGGTACATAAGGTATTAATTGTACACTTTGCTTTTCTCAATTCACGGTAAATTAATTACGGATGTATTATGAAGTTTCTCTTTAACTTATGGTGAAGTCATGCATATAGTGCATTTCATTATTTATGATGGTGTGTGATTAAGAAATTAATGTGGATAGTATGAATTGAATTATGCAATGAAATAAAATAAAACAGAGAAGAGATGTATTTGCTAACTTTATTATCTGATTAGACACTGGGGTGGATGTAACTTGTGGACTAATAGGAGTTAAGGTTTGAAAAAGCTGATTAAACGGCGTTTGGTGCTAGTTGGTACTCGTCAGCTACGTGTACCCGCAATGTTGAGAAAACCAATGTGCTCCAAGGGATGAGAACCCAAGTCACCTAGCTTCACAGTCTGTTATGTTATCATAGAACTATTCAGATCACGATTGACCTCCTGTATAACAGATATTTACAACTGAATAATCACTGAGTACTGGCCAATGTCAGGTTGATATTTATCAGATTCCATTAATCGAAGTAACTGAGTACTTTCAGCCACTTAACATCTCAACATAGTACGAGCTATGTTCAGTTAATTCGACCTATGGCTCATATTTTAACTTTATCAATGAAAATCGATCAGCACTAAAGGAAAAATAAACATAATATTCGTCACAAACTATTGACCAATCAACTGAAATAGATTAAAAACAATTCAGTTTACCGAAATCAACATTATCGAAGTAATATTCACAATTGAAGAACATCTGGAACTCAAAACATCTGTCTGTCAACCAACACCAAAGTCAGGATTTTCAATACAAATGTCAAGACAGTTCTACTGTATGGGGCAGAAACCTGGAGAACTACGAAAGCCATCATTCAGAAGATACAAGTGTTTATTAGCAGTTGTCTATGCTAAATACTTCGGACCTGTCGGCCAGGCAATATCAGTAACAACCTACTATGGGAGAGAACAAACCAGATTCCGGCAGAGGAAGAAATCAGGAAGAAGCGATGGAAGTGGATAGGACACACATTGAGGAAAGCACCCAACTGTGTCACAAGACAAGCCCTCACATGGAATCCTGAAGGTCAAAGGAAAAGAGGAATACCAAAGAACACATTACGCCGGGAAATGGAGATAGACATGAGAAAAATGAACAACAATTGGATAAAATTAGAAATGAAGGCCCAGGACAGAATGGGTTGGAGTATGTTGGTCGGCGGCCTATTTTCTATTGGAAGTAAGAGACTTGAGTAAGTAGTTTATGAATTTTAATGGGTTATTACTTTGACTTTTATCACTTATTAATAATTCGATTGAAAATCTAGAAATTTTCAGATTTCACCTTTTTTTCATTTATCTCTCTCTAACACTCTCATAACAAAGATCAGTCATTCAAAAGAGGGAGGTTGGTTATGAATACAATGGTCTTGAGTGCTGTTAAAGGTATGAAGGCGGTTATCACTTCTCGGTTGCCCACACCGTGGAAGGGTTCTTCTGGAGGTACCTGAAGAAGAAATTGGATTAGAGGTGGTTTTAGTGACCGGAGAGCGTGACCGCAGTGCTCAAGAGACAACCGCTTGAGGTCGGTCACACAACCATTTTGTGAGTAATTTTCATGTTAGCTCCGCACTTATTGAAATCTTACCGCCAGAGACGGATATCTGTGGGATTAGGTGAGGTGTGCATTTTTAGGGTCGACCTGTTCTAACCTCACCATCCCTTGTGGGAAGGCAGGGTCACTGTTATACCGGTTGTCTGAAGGAAACACCATACTGCTGTCATACCTCTGTACAGTCAGCAGTACGACTTCTCTCTCAGACCTTGGGTTCGCTGCTTTTAGTCTTACCGCTTTTCGACCGACCTCTCTGGCACGGTAGGATCTTGAGGAACGATTGTTCCAGCTAGTATAGCTGGATTGGTTCATCACGATGGGCAAGCCTAGCCACCACATCAAGGTAGCAACAACGTTCGGGTCTCATAACAAAAAGTACAATAATAATAATAAAATAACAAACAAACAAAATTATTGTAAATCAAAATTTACCTTACATATTGAATCATTTTGTATATAAAATTGATTGAATTTAGATGGAAGAAATTTAATTGAATTTTGTTGAATAGATTTTGAATCCTCTTTCATTTTATGATGATTAGGTGTATTGCGTTTTTTTAAATTAGGATATCGTTTTGAATTAGATAAATTCATTGCTTTTGTATAATTTAATTTTGCTCTATTACTTAATAATGGCCAAGTTCCCTTATTAAGATTATAAAGAAGGAAAATAAAACATAATCAAATAAATGAACACAATATGGATAAATTAAAGAGATGATTGTTAAGCTAAGGAATAATATTCCTTCAAGAGTGAGGAAAATCAACTCTCACTCTCGAAATGCTCTCACATGGCCACGTGCATACAACCATTGCCAGGGAAGTCATACTCACTGCCTTTTCTCGGTGTGGGTGTTGTCTACGAAATTAAGAGGATGAAAAGTGAATGACAGGCGCTTTAACCGGGTTGGTGAACACAGAGAGGATGTCACTCTCCAAGCCTTTGATTTACAGGTCTAATCCACGAGATAGTGGAGTAACGTTAGGAGATGTAGTTTCATAGTAGCCAGTGAACAAAAATAGGTTCATATTCCATTTTTTTTCCTTCAGGATCCCATAACCCATGTAGATCATTGGTTGGGAATCTCGGTTGTCCCACTCCAAGTAAATCCTCCATATTCATACAAAGTTACTTTGTTACAGATTTTAAAAGCCAATAACAATATACATGAAAACTACATCACAAATTAGTATCGTCTGGAAAATTATCAGAAACTAAGGAGAACTGAAAAGATGTTTCAGTCTAATATACAACCAACCTCTCGTTATTAATCTTTACAACTTTGCACTGATTATTTTCTATCGGTCTCGGCACTTCCATGTGGAAAAACATTTTTTAAAAACAGAATGGAGAGATAAAATAACTGATCTTACATGTAAAAGATTAACCAGTTCCGGATCAACTGGTTCATTTAGAGTTGAATTAGTTGAATCATCTAACTGATATTTTGAACTGAACGGATCAACAACTGTTTTACAACGATTGTTATCTGTTGTGGTAGATGGTGATTTGATGATTTTTTGAATAGTTTTTTTATTACGACAAGTCACATTCATCATATCAGTATCACAAGTGTTCTGATGTTCCGGTATAGAGGTGAATCGATGTTTGTATGCAATGAAACCTTTGAAATATGAAAAATAACATTACAACTATAAATAATTAACCACTAGATATAGACTGGGAAGTCTGAGGAAACGCTAATTCAAACTGGATCATTGTTGATTCATAATGGTGGAGTTGAAAAGAATATATAGAATGAAACAATCATTCACTAATAGCTAGTTTTCAAAGATTAATCAGATGTGAAATGATTCTTGTATTTAAAAACAGATAATCTTGGAATACATAAAATAAACACTTTTGTGTATGATAAACACAGAGAAATATTTAGTTACGTTAAGTCAACATTAAGGTATAGTTGGACAATAAATAATGAATTACAGTTGAATTTATTATTTCAAGAAGATAAGCTAAATAGACTTGTAAGCAAAGATGAATGGTGACTAGTAGTGGAATCCATGATGCGCGTTTCATCCTATTTAGGACTCGTCAAAAGGATGTACCTGCATCTTATTGTTGATGTTTACACCGGGACTCGAACCCAATACCGTTCGCTTCAAACGCCATCGCGTTATCCACTTAACTACTGAGTCCTGATAGCCACTAGCTTGTGCTTCAAATCACGTGCACTAACAGATATGCAATATAGTACTATTTAAGCACAAGATGAAAGAAAACTATCATAGCACATAACCACTAAATTTTATGCTATAATACAGTTGATAGCATCTGTCAATGTGGCTACCAGGGTCAGTGTTATTGATTTGTTTGATTACATTAAAGATTCATATACTAGTTATTCATCTACCTATTTTAATTGGTCTTGTTAAAATTAGCTCAGTTCATTGTCGTTTGTTATATCACAAGTGTCAACAGATGGTGAGGAAATATTTAATAGAGAACATATCTTGAGATTCTGTACTATTGATACGAATTTTAAGTAAGTATTCTGACTTGCAGTTGTAATAAATCCCGTATCGTGCGACTAACTTGTTTTAACATCACCAAGTGGTAAAAGAGTTACAGGGATCATCTTATGTATCTCGGATATTGTTCAGACCTAATATAATTATGGAAACATTTTATTATCATTATAATTGCTAGAGTTCATCCAGTGAGAGTTGGGCGTCAATATTATATATTTTAACGCAAAAATGGCATAATTCAGTTTAAAGAGTCATGTTAAACACCAAAAACGGTATTTACGTAGGGAAAAAAGATCATTTCAGAATTTGATCAGTATAATATACTGTTAAATGTAGCCAAATTAAACAACATAGGTCTTTTAAGATTGTTTTGATTACTGAATAATACAACAACTTTAATAATAATAATAATAATAGTCCCCTTCATATAACCTTAGAACGGTTGACCAATATCACGTGCCAAGTCAACAATCAAAATCCCAATTTTAATTTGGTCCATTTCGCGTCTCGTTTTTCCTCGATAGTCTAGTGTATCCAAACTCGCCAATCACACTACCGACAAGAACTATTAATCTTGAGCCAACAGGTAAGTTCTAATAAACTCATCACAAGCTGCTCTCTATGCCCTGCCTTGGGTCAACAAGCAGCTTCCACTATAATTATTTCTCAACAGAAATGGTTTATATACAGACATGCAGGAACGTATCACATCATGAAATGAAAAATAACAATTATACCTGAACAAGCCAAAAGTGGCTCTAAATGAGAGAAAAGGTGAGTAATGGGGTGGTAACAAATTAGGAATAGTAAGTCGTATGACAGTAGCCAATGTGTCAACAGAAAACTTATGATAAACAGAACACATAGACACAGTAATGTAGCTGCTTAATAACTATACAATAAGGATATATGTTCAGTTTGGGGTTATGGTGATAGTGGCATTTCAATAAAATCATGAACCGATAAATGTTAGACCACCAGTGAAAATCTGGAAGCATTGGACGGCCGTTTCGTATCAGTGAACATCCACGATCCCGCACGTGATACTCGAACCCAGGACCCGTCTCACGCGCGAACGCTTAGCCTCTAAATCGCCAATTCAGAACCCAATAATGTACAAATCTAACTTCAATCAATCCGCAATATTGAAAACTGCCGGGGATTCCCATACTAGGGAGAAAGCCATTCCAATATTTCCAGGTTTCCAATGGTTGTCTAACTTCGATCGATTCGTGATCTCAAATAAACTCAACAATCTTTACAAACTCATAATGATAACATTATAATCATTTTGCCAATCCAGTCTTACTGTGTATTATTTCCAAGTGGAATGACACACTGTTAAACTAGTAGTGCACAGTATCCTCGATGTTAAACCGTTTACGCATATTAAATAGTTAAATAATATCAAAATGTACAGAAGATTAACTGGATAAATAAGGTTGTAGAAATTAATTTGATCAAATATATTTGAATATACCTTTCGAACGTTTCTCATCGGATGATTCTTCAGTTGACAATGATGAACTAGACGAAGAATGTGAGCCATTTTTGATACAACTTTTATGACAGATATGTCTAATAGAGGAATAAATGATAAATAATAGCAACGATAACATTTTTTTTCAGTAACAATAAATTTTTTACGAGGTTCCATACATGAATTGTAGGTATCTATGGATACTCAATGACGGTGTTAGTGAATACTTATTAATAATTGATTTATTCAATAGTATATGTTCTCTATAAAATGAAATTTTCCGTTAAAGCCTGCGTAATAGCTGTAAACTATGGCTGCATACATTGGATGACGAGTCCAAATCAGCCACAATGGCACGGTAGTATCCATTTGTCATATTCTACTACATTTGGGGCTAAGAGTTATTGCATACTTTTTATTTGCCTGTGATGCTTTCCAATTGCCTGAACCGAAGGAATTGGACAAGGATTTGAATCTGTGACCTGTTGGTTGAATGTTTACCATTTACACTACCATATCATCCAGGTTACTTGCGGTACTGCGTGATGTGGGTTCGAACCCCGAGAGTGACATTACAAATGCGCCCCATCAACGGGTATCAACTAAGATAAAACGTCTAAGACCCTGGATTCTTATCGACTACGTCAAACTATCTAAGGGAGAGAGAGAGAGCAAAAGCAAAGAAATGTGAAGAGTAACATGGATTCATTTTATTTGGTTAGGTTCTCATTAGCAGTTTACAACCTGTCATATTTTAAGATCTAAATTACCGTTAAGCTTACGAATTTGGGACAGTAAAATTGGATACTTATCATCATGGTGGAGTAATGAAAGTGAAGACACACAGTGTTGGAAATAAATGTAATACATAAGTGAAGATTCTGGATCATCAGACATAGTAACAAGGGATCATATAGCTAAGATAACTAATTGGTTACGTAATGAAGTAGTTGGACATAAATTAATTGCAATTAAGAATGATATGAGCTGAGATCAGTTAGCTAAGAATAAAACTATGAATTTAAAGGAAATGATACAATCAAAGTAGGAGAAAGAAAATGCAAGAATGACGTAATGAGCTGACGATAAGGTCACCATGGTAAAGAAGGATTCGCAAGTGTCTCCTTTTAGATAAATAAATCCAACTTGAAGCGTTTGATAGCTATGGCTTCGGCAAATTTGAGAAGTATGTAAACACTACGATAATCTTGATTCTAAAATATTATAGGTTATAAACAAATGATGAGAACCTAACGACATAAAATGAATTAATGTCATTCTACTTAATTCTCTGTTCTTGCTCTCCTTAAAATAATGCAGGGAACTAAGCGAATGAAATTCTATTAAATTTTGAATAAATATATATTTAAGTGAGAGATAAACACAATTGAATATTATACACTCGGCAACAATAGTAGAAAAATGTATATACTTACTCTCCATGCTTATCATCAGTAGTATCACTCTTATTTCGCGGTCTACACTTGCATTTCTTGTTACGACGACCACGGCGACAATGATTCGTATCAGATGATGAAGAGGCTAACATACCACTGATAGTATTTCTTTTAGTTTGTTGATAACTAGATGAGATAACCGGTGATAACCTAGACGATGAATGTTCACAATATAATCCAGTTGTATTATGTAAGTGTATTGATGTTAATCGTGGAATTTTAATATTTATTGACAGGCCGTCCGATGAATCACCGCCTCCCCCAGAAGCATGATACACAGTATCCATTGGTCTCCATAATTCATAAGAATGTTTATCGAGAATAGATGATTTACGTCTACTAATTCTTGTCAACGATCTACCACCTTTGAAACAGATTAAGTCGCCATGATCTGCATCTTCAATGTCAGCATCATGTGACGAAGCATCACTCTCAGAATTATTATCTGATGATCCAGTGACTGAAAGCATTGACGATCCTGAAGAATAACGTCCCACGGCTTCAATATGATCGGAGCTTAGTGATTTATACAATATAGAATTCGAACAAGAAAAGGGTGGAATTGGTTTAGTTTGTAAATTTAAAGCGTCTATCGATACGGATACATGCTGTAATGATTCCATGTTTGATGATGACGATGATAATAATAACGACGATGGTGGTGATTGCATAGGTTTCAAACAAACAGCTGTGGAATGTTCCAATTCCATGATTGTATCCAGTTCAATTTTATCCGGTTGCCATTTACGTTTTGAACCTGTTGTAATAGATTGGCTAAGATATAAGAAAATAGGCAGGAAATAAAGAGATATTAGGGAAATAAATATTTTCCCATAAAAATTGTTTTATAACGGTTAGCTGCATAGCTCAAGCATATCGACAATCAGTCAGATAAGTCATTCAATTATAGGAACCACAAGTCAGCATACAGGATGGAGGACATTGACAAAATGTACACGAGAAGGGTTAGTAATATTTTGATGGATTTTTGTTCCCTGAGCTGGATGGTTTGGTCGTGGAGCTTTCGTCGTTCTTCTGAACGACATCATCAGCACAAACTTCAAATAGAAGTGAAGTGTTTGAATTTCTCCATTTGTGTTTAACAGCTTGTTCTGTGCACCTCAGTGTTGATTGGTTCGTATTCACCTTAAATTTGTCATTGTTTACTTCTTTGTTTTGGCTGTGTCTCCCATTGGTTAGAGATTTCCGTTCCTATATTTGTGCATGATTTCCCTGATTGGTTGGTAAATTGGGTTGATTTCAATATGCTTGTTGATTGCTGATTGACCTGAGTGCCAGGCTTCCAAAAATTCCCTGGTGATTTTGGAATTTCCTCTGTCTAAGATTTCCACATTTTTCCAATCAAATGATTGTCCACAGTTGTCTACGTGTATTGATATAAGTGAGGAGATATCATGGCGTTTGACTGCTAATTGATGTTCGTGTAGGCGAAGGTGAAGGGGGCGTCCGCTTTGTCCGATGTAGTGTTTTTCGCAGTTGGCGAAATTTATTTTGTAGATGACTTTGATTTTTTTTTCCTTTGTTATTTTATCCTTTGGTTTGCATATGACTGATTGTAGTGATTTCGTCGTTTTGTGTGCCACACCTATCCCGAAGGTTTTCAGCAGTCTCGTTGCGGTTTCTGATATGCCTTGTATGTATGGTAATGTGATCCTTTTGTATATGTCTGTGCTTGATTTGGGTTCTGATGCTGCGCGCGGTTGATATTTTTTGATGAAGTTGATTGAATAGCCGTTCTTTTGAAATAAGTCCTTCAGGTATTTCTTTTCACTTCTTCGTGCTGCCAGTGTGCTGAATTGTGTCCTCGCCCTCTTGAACAATGTGTGTACGCAGTTGATTTTGTGAGCTCTTAGGTTGTTACTATTGTAGTTGAGGATTTGATTTGTATGAGTCGGTTTCCTTTATACTTGAGTTTCCAATTTTCCTGCATCAGTTCTAGTGATCAATATATCCAAGATTGCTAGTTGGTTGTTTGACTCCATTGTAAACTTGATGTCATCGAAAGCGTTGTTGATCAGCTTGTACGTGTTTTCCAGATCATTCTTTTTGACGATGACGAATGTGTCGTCTACACAGAGAATCCAATTTTTCGGCTTGATCACTGGTAATAACGCGGCTTCTAGTCTTTGCATCACTGCTTTTGCGATCAGTCCTGATATTGGTGATCCCATTGGTGTTCCCTCTCGTTTGTTCGTAGATTTTGTTGTTGAATTGAAAATATGTTGTTAAGCGTTATTCGATGAGTTCTAGTAGACTTTGAGTTTGAAGCTTCGTGTGCTTAGTGAGATTTGTGTCGTTGGCGAGGAGCAGGGATATAGTTTCTTTTGCTAACATTGGTTCAATTGAGGTGAATAGCGCTGTTACATCGAAGGATACCCTCAGTTTGTCGTTGTTGATTCGAATTTCCTTAATTTGGTCCAGGAATTGTGTGGGAGATTTGATGGAGTGGATGAATGAATCTACTAAATGTCTCAGTATCCGCGAAACTTCTTTTTAAAAGTTGTACGTTTGCGTTCCGCGAGTGCTACAATTGGACGTAGTGGAATGTTTGGTTTGTATATTTTGGGTCTGCCGTAGAATTGAGGGAGTACTGGTCCATTGGTCTTTTTTGTTATTTCTCCTGCTTTGACCAGCTTGTTTAAAGTCTTTGAGATTCGGTTGTCTAATTTTTTGGCGGAATTTGTATCCATTAGTTTGTGTGTGCTCTTATCTTCAAGTAGTTCTTCGGCTTTTTTTGACGTATTCTTCTTTGTCCATAATTACTGTGGTGCGTCCTTTGTCCGCTGGTACTATGACAATATCCTTTCTATTTCTGAGAACAAAAATCCATCAAAATCATCCACCTGAGCCTCAAATCTTCTCCATCATCTCAAAATCATATGGTTAGTAATATTAGATGGAATGGGAAATAAAATGTAAGATATCTAAATCAGAAAAGGAAAGATTAAAGAATGATTTGACACGATAATCAACTCAAGGTTTTAAGATAGAGAACGAATGAAAGTGTGGCATTTAGGCTGGGGTTAGGCCACGGCATCCAACGTCTCTAACCTGATAGTCCACATCTACTGAGATGGCCCAAAGCAACAAGTAATGACTTAGTAAACTTATGAAATAATACAATTTTTATAGCATGAAAAGCATAGTTATAGAATCTTGACTGCTTTTTATCTGTATTTACATCTCGAAGTGAGATACATTATCTATAGGACTATATAAGGAATCAGGAGTTGTCAGTGCATGGAAACCCAATACAACTACATTGTCATAACTTCACCTCTTTTTATCTTTTCCATTAAGCTCCCAAATTACCAAATAGTGTTTAGTCTGGATAGATAGAACTTGAATATGTGAAGATGACTACTCCATTTCGTTATGTTGCTTATAAAAAATCCAAATACCATGACGAGAACTTCACCAATGTATAACTAAAATGGAAATCAATAACCTGCAATCTTCGACTTCAACCAGTAAACGACATAGTGGTTAGTCAGTCAGTAACAACGTAGAACTTCGTACGTACGTCAGTTCAAGTTGCCATATCACTAACACAGAGATGCAGATGTCCATTCAAATCCCATAGTGGTAGAGGTAATAAGAGTATAAGCAGTAATCGTAAAGATTAGGGTTTGAAGATGTTATTCAAAGAGTATAATCCAGTGAAATAAATTTGGGAAGAGGAAAAAAAGGGACATGAAGAATTCAGAAGATTAGAATTTGGGAGAACACAAAGAGTGGATGCACCTGCGCCATTGCAAACAATTTTGAGCCATTTCATTTAGGGTCTCTAACCATCGATTGCTATCATCTCGCGGTCCCCAACCACGTAGCTACACCTACCAACATGTTTCAGTCCACTTTTCAGTGACTTCATGGACTTGTACCATGTGGATTCGTGCTAAAGCAATCAATCAAAAAACATGACGTACGTAGCTTCACTAGCAGTTATTTGGTACGATAATGTAGATCTCTTTACAAGCTATAGAGTTAATACTGCCTTATACCTTGGAATCCGATACATGTGTCGGGTAGCTAGAAGAATATAAGCGCTAAATATATGGTGCGAAATCCGATATTTTGATTAAGTATATAAACGATATATATATATATATATATATATATATATATATATATATATATATATATATATATATATATATATATATATATATATATATATATATATATGGACTGATAGGTCTGACATTTTAAGGAAAAAGGGGTCCCTCAAAAGTAATAAAATGAGTGGCATGACATTTCGACTGACTGTACAACATAAAGTAAAAAGAGGCTTACCGGTCGTTCAATGTAGATTCTGATTCAGTTCTGTTCCTGGATTTTGCGTGTCTGGTACGAAAATGTCGATACTGTCTATCGGGATTAAGGCTTGCAGTCAAACGAGCAACTCCATGACTTAAACGTGAAATGGCACGTGCAGTAACAGGATCGTGACGAAGTAAACAATGATGGTTAGAATTTGGTGAATTCATGAATATGATTTAGTAATCCACGTGGTATTTATCAAGACCTAGGAAACGTAATAGGATTAAAAGCAATACAACGACAAACATTTAAAGATGGTGCAAACACACTATTACACATCTTTAGGCGATAAAATATACTATGCAGTTCAGACAGACAAAGTTATGCATACAGCAATATAGAGTCATGCCAAATAACACTTTAACAATCAGTCAGTTACAAACAACGTATGGACGTATGTTCATTGCTTTAAAATTTTACACTCTATCCAGATAATGGGACGAAGTTGGTCTGATGGATGGGAAAGAAGTTGGAACTACATCAGAAATAATGATGGTAAGAACCAAAAGTCGAGAATGTGACTCCGAAAGACAGGAAAAAGGGTATGCAATAATATTAAAATATAGGGACTGGGAAAAGAAACTGAGTAACTCACTGGTACTACAAATAAATTTGAGCTATATCATCCAACGTCTCCAGCCACAAGTCAATATGATTGCGAAGACATTAACTAGGTAGTCAGCAGCTGGTAAATTTATGGGACGATGAGACAACAAGGTTTGGACATTCATAGATTTTTTCAAATTGCTACACAAGTACGTATTGTATGATTCGAGAGAAACAACTGTCATTTCATGTCTCCACATTTAAAATCAGTACAGTGAAGAATGATCCAATGGAAAAGTTACACTAAAACAATGACTACAATAATAACAAGTAATTAAGAGACAAAAAGAGTGAAGATGGAATAGCATAACATACCACTATTCATGGAATAAGATGTAAGGAATAATATGGTCATTAAGTTACATTATATAAAAACACTAATACACCTTACTCAATGTGCTGTTTGAAAAAATTATGAGGGATCAGCGACACAACGACAAAACAAGCTAAACTATCCTGATGTGTCCCAGCCCTGCTAACTAGAGGGAGAAGACCCAGTTCAGACGAAAGAGCATCACACAAGCACCCAGAAACAATAACAATAACAAGCACACAACGTAATCGCATATATGCAGCATAAAAATGTCCTTAAGAAATGTCACAAAGTATCATATTAAAAGAGGAAACGAACCGATGACATTTAGAGTACTTCCAACTGGGAAATACAATCTGAATGTGAAAATAGGCGCATTTGAAGTAAAAACGAGGAATTAAAAATTCCATAATAAAAATACAAAAATAAGACGTTTTCAAGTGATCTTTGGGGATCTAGCATCCCGAACAACATGACTAAATTTTCAAATATTCATCCAAGTGTCCAGCGACAGATTTTTGATTATTTGGAGGATTCCTCTATCAGTCAGTCAGTCAGTAACAACGTAGAACTTCGTACGTACGTACATCAGTTCGAGTTGCCACACCACATTAGCACAGAGATGCACTTGTCGATTCAAATCCCGTAGTGGTAGAGGTAATAAGAGTATAAGCAGTAATCGGGAAGATTAGGGTTTGGAGATGTTATTTAAAGAGTATAATCCAGTGAAAGAAATTTGGAAAGAGGGAAAAAGGGACATGAAGAATTCAGAAGATTAGAGTTTGGGAGAACACAGAGAGTGGATGCACCTGCGCCATTGCAAACGATTTTGAGCCATGTCATTCAGGGTCTCTAACCATCGGTTGCTGTCATCTCGCGGTCCCCAACCAGGTAGTCTACACCTACCAACATGACTCAGTCTACTTATCAGTGACTTCATGGACTTGTGCCATGTTTTGGTTTGGCCGCCCCTAGCTTTCTTCCAACCTACTCCTATACCACTGAACATCGCACGTCGAGGCAGTCGGTCGTTGGGCATACGTAACACGTGTCCCAGCCATCTCAACTGATGAAGTTTCACTACTTTATCAATTGATTTGCCATCCTTACCTAGTACCCGTTTCCTAACAACTGTGTTACTTACTCGATGGTCCCATGATATACGAGCAATGTTTCGAAGACACCTATGGTCAAATACTAGTAACCTACGGATATCCTCTACTCTTACCGGCCATGTTTCACTGCCATAAAGTAGGACGGAACGAACTGCTGCGCAGTAAACACGTCCTTTGGTTGATAGACGGATATCTCGCCTACGCCATAAATGACGCAAGTTGGCAAAAGCTAGTCGAGCCTTCTGTATCCGTGCTGAGATTTCGTCACACACTAAACCACAAGGGCTGATGAGACTTCCAAGATAAGTGAAGCGGTCGACACACTCAACTACTTCACTCCCTATCACTAGTTCGGGTGTCGATGTAACCCAATCCTGAAGCAACATTTTGCATTTCGAGGGAGAGAATCGCATCCCGAACATGCTTGCATTGTTGCTCAGAGTGGTCAGAAGACTCTGCATTTTGTCAGCGTCTTCACCAAATAAAACTATGTCATCAGCATATTCTAAGTCAACAAGTGAACCTCCTGGTAGAAGTTCAACCCCTGTAAATTTAGATGAGGAGAGTGTTATCTCTAAAAGTACGTCAATGACAAAGTTGAACAAGAATGGGGAGAGTGGACAGCCCTGACGAACACCACTTGAGGTGATCAATTCTGATGACAGTTAGCCATAAGCTCTCACTCTACCAGTTGTGTTCGAGTAGAGAGCCTTTATAAGGTTAATGTACTTCTTTGGTACTCCTTTCAGTGACAAACACTGCCATAGAACCTCACGATCAACAGAGTCGAATGCCGCTTTAAGGTCGAGAAATACTACCATTGTGGGGCGTCTGAATGTGTGTCTGTGTTCTAGAACCTGACGTAGTGTGAATATCTGATCTATACAACCACGTCCAGGTCGAAAACCAGCCTGGTTTTCTCTAGTCTGCTCTTCACGAGCTTTAGTTAGGCGTCGAAGTATGATTGAGGCTAATATTTTAGACACTATATTAGTCAAACTGATTCCTCTGTGATTGTCACAAGAGGACTTTTGTCCTTTCTTAAAAACTGGCACAATCAGTGATTGAGACCAGTCAGATGGGATTACGTCCAGTTCCCAAATTCTACCTAAGACCTCGGTTAATCTCATTGCTAATACTGGACCACCATCCCTAAAAATCTCAGGAGTAAACCTGTCAGGGCCTGCTGCTCTCCCTCGTTTCAGATTTCCTATGGCTTTTTCAACTTCGTAAAGAGACGGAGGACCTACATTAACTTGCCATTCAGGTTGACTGGAGATCGTTAGAAACCGAAATGTGGCTGAAGGCCAGTTGAACTGATCCCTAAAGTGTTCTGCCCATCGATCCAATCTCCTGGATTGAGAATGAATAATATGTCCATCTTTCTCTGAGATTGTTTCGCTAACGGTCGGGTTCCTAATTCCGGTTTCCTTAACGAGTCTAAACAATTGTCTGCTATTACCTATTGCCGCTGCCTTTTCCATCTCTCTTGCTTTCGCTACCCACCACTGTTCGCGATCATTGCGTAGACTTCTTGTCAGCTTGCGCTTAAGCTGACTCCGCTCTTCATTATGTTCAGAGCCAGGTGGAATGTGTTTCCGAGCATTTATCAGTGAGATAGATGCTGCTGAGATCCAGTGTTGCTCCCTAACCTTCTGGTTTACCTTACTAGCAGATATCACTGCTGTTTCCACAGCTTTTCGGATATCATTCCATGCTGCATCGGGGTGGGCATCACATACATGGCTGCCTAACTGTTTTCCTAGTTGTTCCTGAAATATACTCTTAGCTTGACTATCATTAAGTAGGGCCCTAAGAGGTTTCCTTGCAAGATCTTTCCTACGTCCAGTAAGACGCAAGCAAACGCGCGCTCGCACTAGAGCATGATCTGTATCTAAGCATGTGCTCCAGAACGAGCGACAGTCTTCTATCGAGCCCCTCCATCGGTGGCTGATAGCGATGTGATCTATTTGGGTCCAACGTTGGGACGAATTAGGGGGTCGCCATGTTAAAACATGTTTTTCCTTATGCTTAAAGTTAGTATTTGCAAGGAACAGGCGGTTATCTGAGCATAGCTGCAACAGACGGTCGCCATTATCTGTTCTTTGAGCCACGACACCATAAGATCCACCTAGGTGTCTTTCCCTATCGCTTAGTTTACCTACTTGAGCATTAAAGTCACCGGCCACTATTACTACATCCGAGCGCTTAGCTTTTCGGAGAAGGTCCGAAAGCTTTCTGTAAAACTCATCTTTTACATCATCTGAGCTGCAGTCAGTGGGAGAATAGGCAGAGACGACGAAGAGGCAACGACGAGTGTCCCTATCTTTCCGGATTCTTACTGTTCCGTTCAGTCGGACAGCGCACAAACGACTGTCTACTGGGATCCACTCTAAGAGAGCTAGTTCTGCCCTAGGACTCAATGCTATACCTACGCCGGCGAGGCCACGGGAAGCAGAATCAGGGCTCCCAGATACACGAAGCGTAAATCGAGTCGGTTCTTTATTTTGGCATGGTGAGGTCAAATGAATGACGCTACTTGGATCCTGTATGCGCGTTTCGGAGACGCAGCACACATCGATGGCGCGAGATTCTAAAGTTTTAGCTAAGGAAGCCTGCTGTCCTATTTGGCAAAGTGTTCGTACGTTAAAAGCTCCTACGTGTAGTTTAGAGCGTGGTTTCAGGAGACCAGGAATAGCGTTCCACGTACTCGAATCGTTTGCCCTAGCGGTGCGAGGTGATAAAGAGACGTGAGGAGCGTTAGTCGGGAGGATAAGAGAGGTATTAGGAGGTGTAGGAAGGATTTGAATGTGACCACCTTGGTCTCTTGTGCTGTTACGGGTATGAGGGCTGATGTCACTTCCCGGCTGCCCACACCGTGGAAGGGTATTTCTTGAGGAACCTGAAAAGGAAATTGGATTAGTGTTGGTCTTGACGACCTGGGAGCGTGACCGCAGAGCCCAAGGGACAACTGCTTGAGGCCGGTCGCGCACGGCCTTTTTGTGGAAGGTTTTTGACGTGTTAGCTCCGTTCTTCAAGGGGCCTTACCGCCGGAGACGGAAATCCGTGAGGTAAGGTGAGGTGTGCATTTTTAGGGTCGACCTTTTCTAACCCCACCCCTCCTTGTGGGAAG